TTAGAAAGATATAGTTATTCTTTATGTAATTTACATACAAATTAAAAAAAAATTGATCAAATTTTTTTAAACCGAGTTAAGTTAATATTTTTTTCTATATTAAATTTTAACTTATCGAATAAAATTTATAATTTGTTAACGATTAACTTCTAACTTATCAATCTTGTGCTCTTTTAACTTAACCTAACCTAACCTAACTTAACTTTAATTAAATATTTTCATTAACTTGCCCACCTTTGCTTAAAACTGATAACCTAACCCATGCAAATAAGTGGTCTCACGTGAATTGATAACAATTAATTTATCAACTTAAAATACAAATTTAGCGCAAAAAAATAGTTTAAATGTAACAATATATGTATAATTTATTGTTACTATAAACGATGCATCATTTGTTTAATGTTTTTTTTTTTTTTTTTTTTGATAATGAATCGAATACCTTACAAATTATAAATTATAATTTACAATTAAGTTGAGGTATTTTTTTTTTTTACATTATACTCTTATCGTCTTTGTTTTTAAAACGATAAACAAAAATACCAACTATCAGAAAACAAATTCTATATTATATATTTACAGAAAAAATACACCATTGATTAAAATTGGCACATATAGCACTAATTAATTAAATTTATCGTTTCATTGTAGTAAGTAGTTATAATTGTTGTTTTAGATACTGAAGTTAAATGCTCTTAAATAAAATTATTTTATTTTCAAATACATATAACCAATTAAATACAAATAAGTATATTTGTATATTTCACATTGTGTTCGTAAAATATACTTATATGGGCTATAAACATATAGACATTACAGGTACCTACGAGTATGTTCTAAAATATGTGACAAATGTACCTAATTAAGTAAGCATGTAATAAATAGTGTTTTTAACAATAATAATTTATTTATACATAATTATTACGTATAATTATTAATTAGCAATAACCATTTAATTTTTAAATTAATTTTTGATGTAGGTACATGTATATATAGTCATTTTTAGTTAATTACGTTCAGCAGTTCTTTCTGCTACATTTTGTAATATATAAGTATATATTTTATACTATATATATATTTTTTTAAATTTATTGTAACATTACTATTTTGCAAACTTTTAACTAAAAAAAAAAAAAAAACATGATATAATACCTATATAATTTGTTTAAATGTATCAATAATACGAGTATTTTGGAATATTGTACATTATATTAACTGTATATATTATACCTATATAAATACTAAATAGTAAATAATAAATATCTAATATCCTATTAATGACAATAAATGACAAATAACGCTAGTTTAAATATTAATCTATTAACATATATATATAGAAAAAGACAATTTGTAGAATACAAATATTTACATACTAATACAAGTATAATGAACAACGTAGTACGGAAGTAATTTGATTTCGTTTGTTAAATTTCTCGTTCACTGTTACACACTTTGTAAGCGTCTGTTTAAGTATTAAATAATGTATACAGTAATTTACTCATGCAGACGTGTATATGAAAAAAAAAAATTCAAGAGGGCTAATTTTGGATATGACATTTTGTGAGTAAATATTTAACGACAATGATATTACAATTTATGTAGACCATAATGAATTATACTCTGTGTGGAATATATTACGTATTCATTTGATATCTTATAGGTACCTATGTAAATTTCATCGATAAAATTGCAAATTAAAAAGCGCATTAAAATTTAGATAACATGATGTATAATATATATTAAATGAAGAACTCAAAACTCTTAATATGGTTAGTAGTTCCCTATTACAGCCGACAGCGGTTATTGGAAATATTATAGAACATTGGTGTTATAGTAAACAATATTATACTATTATCACTCATGTTGTATTATTGCCAAACATAGACGTTACTCTAGGTACTGTATATAATAATGTATTTTATTGTTTATTACCTAGATGATATTAAAAACGTAGGTGTTACCCTAAACCAAAGATCACGAGGAAAAGCATCTACATTGATTTTTAATATTATTTGCCATAAATAGTATAGAAAAAAAGAACATTGTACATCAACAAATTTTTGTTTTTTTTTTAATCTATCTCCTCAGTCTCTATAGTGTATCATTACAGCCTCGATACGCAATTCAATTAGAATTAGTCTATACGTAGTATATATACTTCCATCTTATCATACTTATAGTTGAATTGTTGGGCGGAGTCTTAATAACATCGTCACTTGTATTATAAGTCCAAATTCCTAGTTTTTGTTCAACTAATTTCTTGGATAGAATTATTAAACTCTATTCACAAATTGTATAAGTAATACTTCGAGTTAATAAATAACTATATATTATATACTCTACAATCGATTGTTCACCTCTTTCGTCTTAACAGATAGGTATCCTCATGTCTAAACGTGAGACCGACCGCGTTTTCAGAAACTGTATAAACGTAGCGAGGAGTACTGAGTTCACTACACTGTCAATTTTCATATAATATTATTATTATTCCTATTATTGTTATTTATTAACTATTTTTTGGGACCTACTCGTAACTCGTAAGCTTAAGATACTATTAAGTGTAATATACACAGTTTTAAATGTTTTAATCTACGACCAAGTATTAATTTTAATTCACGAATCTTATTTGTTTTTTTAGTTTCACTATGAACAAGTATGAAAAGAAAAGGTGATTTTAATCTCGAAAATGGTAAGTAATATAAATAAGAATAAAAGGTCATTAATGAAAAAAATATATAGGTAATTATTTAAATATTTGTAAATCTATACAATAAGTATTTGATATACATATAAATACATTTATGGTAATATAATATAAATTACCTGTAACTATAAATAATGCGTAAAAACATTTATCTAAATGAATATTAATAATTATACGAGTACTTAGTGATTTTGTAGTTTTGGTCTCATGGACATCAAATATTTGATGCAGGTACCTATATTTTGTGCATTGCATGTCAGACCGCAAATAGTTATCGGAAATAAATATTTGCAACTTGAGAGGCGTACTCTAAATTCAATCATACATTCATACTTAATGGAAATAAATTTCATTTTGGTACCTACTTTAAAGTTTAAAGTTTAAACGTAATACACAGTACACACGCATATATTTGTATATAATATATATATATATATATACATATTATATGCCATACAGGTTTAATAGAATATAAAATATATACAGCATACCAAATTTCTCATTCGTTTTCGTTTTTGGAGAAATTAAAAAATAAAATTATTCAAATCCACTCTTTAATTTTCATAGATGAGTCCCATATTGTTGAATTGAAACATAGTGCAGTGTTGTATACGTCGTATAGGTGCATACTGCATAGGAATGCGTATAAATTGTATCCTGTTTTCGGTGACTCAAACAGATTTACTTCTTTTGGAAGTCGGGTTCCTAGTATTAGATATGCATCTGCTTATAGCTTAAACTTATATAATAACTATATGTATATTGTATATTATACACGTGCAGTTACGAAATATTTCGGATTACAAAACCGGGTTTGAAACCAGCGGACACCGGTTTCTATTTCTTGATCTTGAAATTAAACATATTTTATTTTAATGCCTGAGAATCATTATAATATACCTGCTACGTTATATTTACAGCAGACTGCAGTGAATAATGATTAGAGAAGTAAACTCTATAACTCAATAACTATAAACATCGAGCGCTTCTTGAACGACCGTCAATTAATGCAGATATATTAATATAATTATTATAGTAAACAGTTACTACATTATATTATTATCTCTAACTTCCATTAAATGTGTAATAGTTAATCAATAAAAAATGATTTTTCGAGACCATAAAATGCATTGATATATAATAATAATAGACATAATATAAAGTAATGTTAATTATATATGGCCTATGTATTGAGGTATTATATATCGGTATATTTATATAATATTATTAAATTGATGTAAGTGTGTAACATTATATCATCGGTTGTCGGGTAATAAGTGTCATTTTGCGTGTTATCTCGTAATAGACGATAATAAGAGTTACATTACTCATATTATGCTTTTTTTCATTGATTGAATACGCTTCAACGACAATTAATGACAATGATTATTATTTATTAGCTACTAACTAGGTATATTATAATTTATAAAGAACCTATACATTATTTACAGTTTATTATTATTATTTATTAGATTTATTTACAATTTCTAATTCTTAAGAGTAAATGGTTAATTTCCAAAAGAGTTTATACAAATCTGTTAATCTTAAAAATGTTATTATTTTGTTCGTGATTGTGACCCTATGATTTCGTGTAGTTGCGATTAGGTACTTAAGTAGGTACCTACCAATGATTTACTCATAAATTTTAAAGAGTAGTATGTTGGTATAGATATACTACAAATAACGTATACAATTTTTCCTTTTTATTAAATACCTACTCATAAAAAAAAACATAGGATTCTTGTTAAAATCACAATATTAAACTATTGCTTACATTATTATAGACAATATTCAAACAACATGCATTACACTCAACCTGTTGCGTAAAAATATGTGAATCTCTCGACTCTTACAAAGTCACAATTATTTCCTGAGACATGAGCTAGACAAAATAATCGTCCTGGTTAATACTAGGTACCTATAAAATTCAGTGTTTATAGAGATCTGAGATAATATTAGAGTCGGTGATTGCCGTGTGTCAGCTGCGGGGAATGTGCTTTAGATCAAATTGACAACCGCTAGATAGAGCGACCGCGACGACAGTCCAAACTCAAGATAATTTTCACAATAATATAAGTAATTTAAAATAATAGTGAAATATTCTGTACACAATAATGATTATATTATGATTTACGGTCTGAACTATAGAGGAAGGGCCGTCGTGCTTTGTCCGTTTATTTCCTGTCGCGAGCTCCGTTCGTCAGGCGTCGTGGTTGGTCGATCGTCGTCGCGACCTTGGCTCCTATCACCACCCCGCCATCCCCGCCATTGATACGACAACAACAACAACAACAATAAACTAATAACACTACAGTCTGCAGCAGCCGCACCGCTCGTACCAAACCGAGTTCTAACGTTGATCACAAGTCTATTGCCGTTGTCTATTACCGTCGTTACGTTTGCGTATCAAGTATTTTTCGTCATTAAAATAATAATAATTTTATTGTTTTAACTTTTATCAAAAACGGTAATGTCGAATGCGTATCAATCGCGGTCGTTATAGCTAGTATCAAAAAAATTGTATCTACCAAATTACTCTAAATAACCAAGGCCCGACGGGAAAGCGCGCACACCAGGAGAACAAAAAACTGTTCAGACAATAATAATAAAAAAAAACATGGGAATCGTCTGTGGCGGACGTGCCGACAGCGACGACGAATTGCCCGCCTAGTCGGCAGACGAGTGCCGCAAGGCGAGATAACCCGGTCATTGGTAATAATAATAATAAATACTAGGTACATTCTACATACTTAATAATATTATAATTAGCCGGTTTAATCATTATTGGCTGAACGCGAAGTGCGAATAGCGAATAGATAGGTCGTAGGTGCTAAACAAAACCTGGCAAGTAATAATATTAATAACTACTCTAATAAATACCTACTTAATATGCTCTTTTGTGTAAATATTGCGTATTGTCGTATCTAGTAGTAAACACGATGGCTAGGAAAGATACAGAAATGCTGACAGAGAGAGATAGAGTGAGAGAAGAGAGTGGCGTGTGTGAGAGTCTATTAGAGACGATTATAAATCATTTATTTGCGTTTTAGATTAATGTTGCTGTTCTTCTCATGTTATTATTATTGAGTACATTTTTTTTCAGGTGAAGTGAGCTGATAATAATAAAAAAAAAAAAAAACACTCGACAACCTATTCTGAGGTTGAGATTGCTGTGCAGTGTTAGAAGCATTCATAGCAGTCTTGGACGTCCACCACCCTGTCCAACAAACACTTATTCGTGGATTTTCTTTTACTTGAAAATCGCACATATCATTTTTGTATTCTCACACTATGAGTGCGTATCACATGAACACTGCTCCTATTGTATACGACGCTCAGAACTCTACGCTGTTTGGTCACGGATTATTCAGCGATTGTTACTCAAATATCCTGGGCACGACTGCAACAATGTTCCTGTCCACTCAATATCAACCAATTTTCATGTCTGTGATTGGATCTATCGTTGTGGGTCTTAGTGGACTTTTCCCTCTACTTATATTGCCAGTCAACGACTCAATTTCTCTAAAGACTGGACGTAAGTATTCATTATACTTATTATATGATACCAACTTATTTTCTATTATTTCATAATGGAATTTAGGTGAAGTTACTGTTAGGAAATCATAATTTACTAGATTTCTAATCTAATTTAATAATTTTGGTTTTAATCAATGTTTTTATTTTTAACTAGATAATAATTGTTTAGTTGTTTGAACATTGGCATACAATATTGACGTTATCTCGAAAGTAATAATAAGATAAAGGTGTTGATATATTTTAAGCTTACCAATATAATTTTATAGTAAAAATTTGAATAAATGTATTTAAATAATTGATATATCTTACTTAATTGGTGATGTGATTATGCACTCAATATCCAATAATAAAATAACTTAATGGCAAACAAATAAATAAAGAGAGAAAAGTAATGAAGTATACTTAAAAAAGTTTTAATTTATAATTATAATACATTTCAAATAATATTTATTATTTTATTTCAAATAATGTGTATTAAACTTGTATAACTTATTATATTATAGTGATTTATATAATAAGTATAAAATGTTATGAATTTACTACTTACTACAGTCCTAAATAAATAAATAAATAAATAAATAATGTATTGTATTGAAATAACTAACAACTATGAGTTTTTTTAAGACATTTATAAAATGTTAACTTATTTCACATAAAATATTAAAACTAATAATAATATGTTTTATAAATTAAGTTATATATTTTAAGGTATAATTACAAATCAGGCTACAAATATTTTGACTTAACAAAGAAATCTATAATGGCCTTACTAATAAATTTAGCATAAATGTCTAAGATCCTCTAGTTAGCCTTGAAGATGATTGACAGTTGTCTATAAATTAGATACACTTTCGATTAAATATATCCTGTTTGGTGAATATACTTTTAGACAAATTAATTGTTCATTATTAATAAACAGTATATTCTTTAGACACTTTCACATTGATTATATTATAAAATTAATTTGTATTGTATACTTACTAATTCAGTAAAAATCTGTGGTACCAAGTAACTCAGATGTAAAATAATTTCGATATTGATTAGTCAATAATGTATGCATTCAGCCATAAAAAAAAATATTGGTTTTAAATAAGTGATCAAAAAAAATGTTACATGTGAGTAACTGTGTTGTAATTATTTATTTTATGGTACATTGTACTTACTAATTATATGATGTCAGTAGTTAAAATTAAACTAGTTAAAAGAAAAAAAAACAGTTTGTTAATGTATTTATTAATTACTCGGGCAACTATACTTTAATACTTGAAATTTTGTCCAAATAGACTTGCAAAAGATATTTTTGAGTTTCAGCTAGGTTAAAAAAAATACATAATGGTTTTAAGTATAAGTTCATTTTCATACTTATTTTTCTCTTGAGTTTTTTGATTTGTTATTGTAATAATCAATGAAATAAATATGATTTATAAGTAGAGTACATCCTCATATATCCATTGAATGTATACAGTTTTTTGAGAGTGAAAAATTATTTAAATTTATTAAACACTTAATTTAGATGGTTTTTTTTTATATTCTTAAGAATATTAAAAAAAAAAAACATTATTTATTTTAATTTTCTTTTAATATTGTTTTTAGTTAGTTATGTTGAAGAAATATTTAATAATTTTGATACACCTCTAATAATAATATTGCATTTCTAGCTCATTTTTTTTTTGTTAATGTTTTTGTTAAAATAAAAAAAAAAAATTATTTTAAAGTGCATTTTTATGCTTATTGATTATTTGTGTATAAAAACATATTTCTTTTTTTTTTTTGGAGAATATGAGGTTAATATTTGTAGGTTGTTAGAATATACCTATTTAAACTATTTGTTAGCATAAAAAAAAAAAAAAATTATAGAAATTAGTTACCAATTAAATACATATTATGTTATGTGAAATAAGTTAATATTATTCTATGACTTTAATAAACTAAGAGTACATTTATCTTGTCTTTAAATTTTGTTTGAATAGATTAGTTATTTTTATTTTTAAGAAACAATAGCATTGGTTTAGTTGCAGTAAAGTATTTTTATAATTAATATTGTCTCCACACTTTTACAAGGTTATTTAAATAACAAGATCATTTTCCTCTATGTATAATACATTTTTCAGTTATTAAAATTAATTTTGGATGCATAATAAATATGTTACTATTCAAACTTTAATAATTTCTACTTTAAATATTGCCTTTATATTGACGCAATTACCAATTAGTAAATTAAATTAATTACAGCTGTTGTTAAACATGTGTGCTTATTGAAATTATAACTGTAAAATATCATACATGGCATGTAGTTATGTATTATACTATACTGTTACTATTTCACTCTTTCAAAACTTAATTTCATATAGATGTGATTAAAATGCATTTGTTAATTAAATATATTATTTGTTTTGTTTTAACAGTTTGTTTATTTGAACTTTAATTATTGGCATATTGGTTTTTATGTCGAAAGTCTTTACACGGGGCTTTAATAATAGTTTTGAATGACTCATTTATTTATAAAGATATTATTACTTTTATTATTTAAAATTTAGCAGTGAACAAATAAGGAAAAAAGATTTTTTCAATGCATTGACTGTTATTGTCAATTAATTTTTGACTCGTTAAATAATAATATTTTTAGGTTTAGTTAATTTGTATAACCAAATATTTACTATTGAGAGTTTCATAACTATCAATGATGCATAGGTAGTTGTTTTAAAAAATAAAATAATTAAATAGATATTGTTTTTTTTTTAAATAAAGCATATAAAAGTTAGGTTAGGTTTTGGTTAAAATATTAGATTTTTTTTTGTTGAAATTAATTTAAATATAAATAAATTAGAATATATTTTAATGATAAAACTTTTTTTTTTTAGCTGGCAGTAAACATTTACGTCTATTATTGAGTTTTTCCGTTGGTGGTATGTTGGGTGATGTATTTTTACATGTTTTACCTGAAGTATGGATCGCTTCTAAGGGTATGTTTAATAATATACTTCTGTTATTATTATTTGATAATCACATTTCATTTGTTTATTATTTTAAAGATAGACATGTTGACTGGATACGGGATGGCTGGTGGGTCCTGGCAGGTTTATTAGTATTCATCATAGTTGAGAAATTGTTTTCATTATCAGATGACATAGATGAAAATGAAACTATTAATAAGAAAGTGTCTACTAATATAAACTCAGTCAATAACAACCTTAAGGACCTAGGAAAAACTAAATGTGATAATGATGTGATGGCCAAAGGAAAAAGTCACATTCAAGTAATTTTTAATTATTATTTACGTTAAATCAATATACTAAGTTTGAATTATAACTGTTTGTTTTTTTTTTTTTTAGATAAGTGGTTATTTAAACTTATTGGCCAATTGCATCGATAATTTCACTCATGGTTTGGCATTAGGAGGAAGTTTTCTCATATCCCCAAGAGTTGGTTTGTTCACCACATTGGCAATATTGGGTAACTCAAAAATTATATTTCAACAGTTTTATCAATTATTACTGATTTAAAGATTTTTTTTCTTTTAAAGTACATGAAATTCCACACGAAGTTGGTGATTTTGCTATTCTTTTGAAGTCTGGGTTCAGTCGTTGGGAAGCTGCATGTGCTCAAGTATACACAGCTTCTGCTGGTATATTTGGAGCTCTTACGGCCATCTACTGTAGTGGAGTTACTAGTGATGTTGGTCAGTAAATCACATTTTTTTGATTTTTTTTAGATATTTTTTTTAAACCAATAAAGGTGATTACATAAGTTACAAAATAATTCAGTTTATGATGAATAAATTTAGGTCATATATCTTTAGACTAGGTGATTTATTTTAGTACCCTCATAATAATTCTGTGGATTAAGAAAGATTTGACATTAAATAATTAAAATAATTATGCATACAACATTACTAAAAAAGCGTTTCAAAATTGATATAAATTATAAACTAGTCTGTAGGTCCGTTATGGAAAATAACTACTCTTATTTCTACACCTTCTCTAAATGGCCTTTTTTTTTTAGTTTAATAGTTTATACTTGAATTCTAACATTGTACTTCACATGATTAGAACTTAAGAATTGTATTTTATTTTTCAGAGGCAAAAACATCTTGGATTATGCCGTTTACAGCTGGTGGTTTCCTTCATATTTCTTTGGTTACTGTTTTACCTGAACTTATACTTGAAGAGAACCCAAGAGAATCAATTAAACAGTTTATGTTGATAATAGCTGGAATAACAGTTATGTTTGTCATGTCAAATCTGTTTGAATAATATAACATATATTTTTTTTCCTTGCCTACTCTCCTATCATGTATCCCATCATAAGACTATAATTTAATATTATTATTTTGACATTTTTACTGTATTAAATCACATAATTAAGTACCACCTATTACTACTTGTTTAGACAATTTTATGTTAATTATGTATTGTATTTGTATTATTCATAAAAATCTCCTGTTTTCTGATCCAATTTTTTTCTAATGTTACCATAAGACAGACCCACACATTACTACTTATATTTATAAAAATTACATCTTCAGAGATTTAATTAGTTTATTTATGGCTGTGCATTGTTGATTTTTTTTTGTTATCAATATTGCATTATTTAATGTATTTTTTAAGTTTAACATAATTTATTTTCATTACCAAGCCATATTATATTTAAGTTATTCATGTAAAAATTTATGTTATCAAAAATATTCAATTAACCTTAATTATTTTACTACTTAAAAATGTATTTTATACATTTTTTGTTGAACGAATAACTAAGATTTGTATTTTTTTTTTTTGTAAATAAATAAATATATATTTATATGTATGTGACATCAAACAAGTTTTATACAAAATATTACGAACTGTCATCTTCATCAGAATCTGTTTCTTCTTCAGCATCTTTTAACCATTCAATTAGTTTATTAGCTTTTTCTCTTATGTTTTTTGCAAATTGAGTGTTCTCTTCCTTTTCATGCCACTTTAGAATCGATTCTTCACTCAATATGTTCATGTTGTATAAATGATGAATTACTTTGACTATAACGGTGTTAAGCAGTTCCTCACCTTTGGCAATGTCTTCGATTGCAGACAGACAGTCCTCACACGAATCAGTAGATTTTATGTAGTTCCTCAGTACTGGCATAAAGTAATCTAATTTAGATTGCAGTTGTGTGTAATACCGTACTTGGTTAAGAGCCTCAAGTTCAGCTTTGCTATTCAATGTCAACATTGCTCGAATTACTTGAAAGTTAGCTTCTCTATAATTGATATTGTATGCATACCGTGATGAATTAATTTCTAATATTAGGTTATCGCAGTGCACGTGATCTTCAAAACCTCTGATTAATGAGTCCACAACTTCAGAGTAGAACATACACGTGTCATCGGGAATAGACGCTGCAACTGATGCAGTGTCATCATTATCTGACGATGAGCAACTGTTTATTGACAAAGACCTCTTGCGAAACGTCAGACCTCTCACCTCTTCGTCGTCATCTGAATCTGAATTGTTTTCTTCGTCGTACACATATGCTTTAGCACTTAACTTTTTTGATTTATTAGTCGAGTCAGAACTAAGTAGACGTTTCTGCTTTAACTCGGTGTTTGGTTCGATTTCAACCCCACTCCCAAGAATACAGCTGTCTGAGATGTTGCTGTTCTCGTTGATTGTACAATTTTCTCCGATCACTGAAAACCGTATGACAGATTTGTCTTTGACATTGACGCCGTTGAAAAGGTAAGAGTTTTCTATCACGACGTTATTACCGATCGTACAATTTTTGCCAACGACTGTGTTGTATATGATCGTGTCGCTACCGAATTTCGAGTCAGATCCCACGACCGTGTCGTTACCCACGTCACAAGTCAGGGCCAGCTTTAAGTTCTCGCCGAAGTAAACGTTACCGTACTTGAAGCTGTACTTATCCAACACTTCTGGGACTTGAGGGTAAGTCCACCGGTGCAACACGTCCCGGGTGACCCGCTCGTATGACGGCCAATCGAAAACTTCACCCGCGTACCCGTCGTCGTCCACCACGTGGGCGTAGAGCGTGCTGTTCAATATCTCCTCGTTGATGAGCAGCCCCTTGACGAAGTCGTCTTTGGTCTGGAAGTCAAAGTTGTCGGCGAACAGCGGCGGCACGGCTGTCGAACAGATGACTACGTTCGTGTCGACTAGGTCGCGCCTGATGTCCACCGTTCTGTCGAGCACTAGCTCCAGCGGTAGGTTGATCTTGCTTCGGGCCCTGTTGTGGAACAGCACCCTACCTGTGTCGGCGGCCAATACGACCGTCTGGTCCGCCGCTAAGGTGTTGTTCGGGTCGCCAGATCGCTGATAGACGATGGTCATGACAGCGCCCCTGTCGCCACTTTGTCGCAAGGTCTTGAAACGCTTGACGAGCGGTAACAGCGGTAGCCGGCCCACGACGTTACCCCATAGCAACACGAAGTCGTTTCGGATGAGTGCACACGCGTCTAAGTGCCGGAGCACGTCGCCAAACGATCGGCAGGTGTCCGAAGTGGTGTAGACGACGTTCAGGCGCCGAGCGCCGGACGCACTCTGCACCGACGCCTTGATGCGGTCCACGCTTCCACTGGAGCAGAACACGATGACGTCCACGATACCCGAAGACTCGAGCATGTCGAGCGTGTAGTGGAGAAGAGGCCGGTTGACGAGCGGTATCAGGCACGCGCTGTCTCCGTCGGCGACCGGCCAGAAGTTTTTGTGGAAGAAGTTGGCCACCACCACGGCCTGCAGCACATCCTGCTTCTGCACTTTACTGGTGCTCATGGCAGATGGTGACGGACGAAAGCTTAGGGTGAAAGGTCGACAAAGTCGAGGCGTCCAAAAGCTACAACGTCCGACTCGCTGCGGCCACTGCGTATTTTCTCAGACTCGGAGCTCGTTGTGCTGATAAATGATAATACGCGCCAGAACGTCAACCTTGATACCGTGGCGCGATTTACCAGTGATAACACGTAAAGGTAAACATGGTCTGTCCGACGTTGCCGTCTCGCGCGTCGTCGTCACGGCAACGCTGCGACCGACCTACCTACCGGCCATAACCTAACCGTAGAAGGTCTATGCCATTGAACTCTATATGATAACTGGAATGCTCACCAGTCATAAGACACTGATGTACTTCGTTCCGTACGTATTGCTTCTACAAAACATGTTTCAATACTTGTTATATTATTTAAATTATAATTATAATAACTAGTTATTTATCATTTAATTATTTATATTTTATTAAATTAATAAAATATTTTGTGGAAGTTAAAAATAATGAGGTGCAACTACATTTAAGAACCAAACAAATAATATCGCGGTAAAATATGAAATTAAGACATTAGCGCCGTGTGCAAGACAAAGATAGTAACACCATTAGTATGTGTATCTCATTCTAACATCCTCTTCGGGCAACG